GGCTAAAGGACTGTCCTTGATTTAAAGGCAGACTGCCTGCCATTCAGTAAGTATTCAGGTTTTGGTGGGGTCAGTAAAGATTAAGTCATAGAAGTGTTCTCTTCTGGCAATACAGCTGAAAATTTATTCTCTGCTTTATACCTTTAATTGGTTCATGTCCTGCCAAAAAATATTCATAACTGGAAGGACACTATATATGTATAATAGCCAAGGGTAACATTGCTTGTGATTAGCAACCTGAATTCCTAATGGGCACAAATGAATGGAAGAGAGGAAGAGCCAAACAGGAGGGCTAAAATGCATAATAAAAACACACTGCTACTTGGTAAATTTTATAAAGTATAGAAATAGATAAAAATGGAGGAAAAAAAACTTTATAGCTGTTTCCATTCTAATTTGTAAGCAGATGGGCAAAGATGATATTTTGAAAGCAGTTTTCAAACTCAATTGTCTGTTTAATCTATTGATCCTAGTTTCGCATTATTAAATTAGAGGAGAAAATGCTTGCCTTTCTCTGATTTAAGTGGTTAAATAAAATGTCACTTATTTGGAAGAGATGACAGAACCTATCTTAACAGCTAGACAATGCTACTAACTCATGATGCACCAGTTGAGCTTTCTTCCATTGATCAATTGACCAAGCTGGCTCCCTGTTTACAGACCAGGGGTCCGATCACGCAAATTCCACTTAAGGTGGTGTAGCTGTTAACACTTTAAATATAACACATGACAAACCCTTGCCAAATGCAAAAAAAATAATCACAGCAGGGTTCAAGATAATATACTCCTACTTACACGTTTTTGGATCAGGTTGTTCTGGAAGGGGATCTGCCTCGGGTGCGGAAAGCAACTGTTGGACAGAAGTATCAGCTGCAGGGGCTGAATAAAATTGTCCCATACATAATGGCTGCGCTATTCCTGCTTCCAAAGACACCTGTTCAAGATAAATGTAACCTATATAAATATCCCAATTAAGACTGTAAAAAAAAAAAAGAAATCCAATTCAACATGAAAAAGTATAAAGTCAGTCAAAAAACATAATTTCTAATTCAATATTAAATTGTTTCATTATTTTATGAGTACTTTCAAAGAAAGAATTAAGCTTTAAAAATTCTGCACAGTTCCAGCACAATAAAAATATCCAAACCTAACAGAAGGTATATGAATGTTTCTAAGAGAATAAGGTGAGATATCACAATTTAAAAAATATGTTAGCCTTTGCAATTTGAAAATTAAAATTTTATGAATAAGTATTTTCCACCTAGAGGTTGATATGTTTGTTTCTGTATGGTTCAGGAGTCCTGATGCTTGCCTTATAAAGAAAATAAACTTTCCTTCTAAACAAAGCATAGACAAATTCAGAACAAATCCTTAGTTTCCCCACATAGAGACATTTATGGATATCATGAAAAAAGACAGCCCACAATTTTACGGATGTTTTTAGGAGCGCAGGAACTGTTACACTGAGCCTGCAAAATACTCTTAAGAGACACTGAGCTACACCTGTTATAGAAAGACAGGTACAGCCTTTTATCCCCAAGAATGCACCACATTAGAGTTTGCTATGAAAATATGTTATGAAAATTACGTCACCTGAATAGTTTCACTTTAAATTCAACTGGATTCATGAGCTACTGCAAAGCAGGTGGTGGGATCAGGCCACTACACTTGTAATACAATGTATGTCAATAACTGCAGAGATTCCTTTTTAACACATGCAAGATACAAAAAATCAGTGTAACAAGGTATATTATTTCATTTTGAATGCTCAAATATATCAATATATTATGCCCAGACTAATGCCACAAGCAGAGTTCACTATTCAAATTTAATAACAGCCTGGAATGAAGCCCGTTTCATCTGGGGAAACAGGGTAAGTCTAAACAGACCCACTGTCAGACAATTTAAACCATGTCTTAAAATAGCTTTAAAATAACAAAGAATAGTAAGATAATACATCTACAGAAATGCCTAATTTAAATGAAAGCTAACTTTGTATGAGATGCCCAAAAGAATCTTGCTGCTCCTAGAACTTTTGGGGCCAAAGGTTTAAACTGGTTTGTCTTTTTTAAATTTTTATGTCTGCCAAACAAATCTTCCGAGACTGAATTTACCAAAATTAGACTCCAAACGACTTTGACCAGGTTTAATCCACTAATTTCAATGGCCACGTCTATGTGACCTATCATATATGTGACACTGGGCAGTAACTCTGTCGCTGTGCTTGCTCCCCTCTCCCGTGTATTGCAGTACTCGTTCTGCTCAAGCACCACCCAAAGGAGCTCCTGGCATGCTTCAGAGCCCTGCCTGTGAAGCAGACAGTTGCAGCTAAAAGACAGCGAGACGTACAAACCAAACACAGCTGCCAATCTAATTTTAGTGTAACGCCACCCAAGTTGCTTTAAATAAAGTAATTATTTGGAATATTAGGTTTGTTGATTCATGAAAGTTGTTTGCAAAATATGGTTGGAGTTTGGGTTTTCTTTTTTTCATTTTATGAATGAGTGTACTCTGTGGGTATCTAATTTTTCCATTTAGTTATGCGAAATATTTCTAAAACCAGCCCTATACAGATTTTTTTACTGAACTATACTCACATATTCTTGTTTTGATTCAGGACCATCTGGAAATTGAGGCTGCTCTGCTTCATACTCTGGAAGTAAAAAGAAGTACAGTATTTATTCAGAAGACTTTAAAAACATAACTATTTTTCTCCTAAACAAACATCACTTTCTAAAGATACCTATTCCAGATTTAAACAGTAAAATTTAGTATACCACAAATGTTTAACGTGAATTCTAATGTTTTAAAACAAGTGAGAACTTCAGAGCCTCTTGTCTGCGGTTTAAGTCAAGTCCCAGGTTCTCAGTGATAACAGAATCCTTTAACAGAAAGAGACCTTTAATTAAATTAACAATTTAGAATATTTTAATGTAAGTGAAATGCAGATGCTTGCATAGAATTAGCCATTGTTTTACCAGTGTATAATACTGCTTTTTAATTTGCATTCCTCTATAAGCAATTAAATCCCTAGGACATTGCTAAGCATTGGTCTCCACCTTCAAAACAACCAACCAATCAATCAAAACACAAAAGGCGAAAGCAGTACATGACCCATATAGATTACTGAGTGAACCAGGGGAATAAAATTAAAAGATGAGGACAATAGAACTGATATGAAAAAAAATCTTAGAGATTCCACAATACAGAAAACTCCTACAGCCAAACCCGTTTGCCATTCTACCATTCTAATTGGATTTACTGGCATTGCCACTTCCACACATACTACGCATGGCTCAGATGAGTTATATTAGAATAAGAAAGTTTATCCCTGCATTTAAAATTGCCATTTTAACACAAAATAACTACTTTTAAGGCATTATGAAGTGCTAACTGAAGAGAAGCCCACCACAAAGCCACAGTGCCGGTCTCTCAGCTTCCTGACCAGCCTCAGCACTCTGACTTTGGGAAAAGGCCAAGACTTTTGCTATTAGAATCAGGCTCGGGTAACAGAACTTGCCGTGAACAGCAGTAACATCGTCACCTCTCTACTTCCCCAAGGCAACAGTCTAACTCCGCTGCCAGGATAACCCACAAAGCTGCCTCCACGCAGGGCGCAGACTGCTGTGCGGTAAGCCACGGGCCACGACACTACTGCAGTAAGCTGGGTACATGTGGCCCTGTTGGCAGCGGGAACACGCACAGAGGTATGTTTCTGTCAGAAGTTGGTGACGATAACGCTCGGGAGCTTGTTCTCAGCGGTGCGAAGAGCGGGTTTTAGCAGGTACAGCCAGCCCCTCCGCCGGCTCCACAGCGCTGCTGAGACCGAGCGCCTCTCCGCCAAGAGCCGGGCAGGAGCCCCCTTGAACGCTGCAGCAGCGAGGAGCAGCTTGGAAGAGCCTCGAGTGACCGAGGCTGCGGGGCTGTGCCCGCGGGGTCAGGGCCGGGCCCACGCTCCCGGTGCCCGCAGCGGGCTCAGGGCCGGGCCGCCCCCGGCACGTCCCGGCTCCCACCTGCGCACACGCGCTCCCAGAGGCTCGGCTCTCGCCCGCCCTCCGCCATGCTGCGTTGTGTTGTGGTGTGTTGCCGCGGCAACAGCGCCACCGGTCCCCTCGGCGGGGCGGGCGTGCCCACGTTCCCCTTCCGGGTCGGCGGAGCTGCACGTGGCCGCGGCAGGTAAGCGGCGGCGGTAAATGGTGTGTGCCCATATGGGGGGGCCTCCGCGCTCCGTCCATCTAACGGGGGCCGGAGTGCAGCGGGAGTTGGGTGGGCCCAGCCGGGCGGGTCACCGCGGTGTGCTGTGGTACACTTGGGGTTTGAAGGATTGCGGCAGGGGTGTAAGAGGCACTTACGGAGCCCTGTGGGTTAGTTATTGATTAAAGGATGGGAGCATCTAGGTTCCTCAGCAAAGGCAGGGCTGTCGCCGGGTGGGTACCGCAGGCACAGAGGTCTGCTGTAACCTTTTCATAGGCACGAGTGTCCCAAAAACACAGAGCAAGGACAAGCAATCATAAACAGAAGCAAACTCAAGGTTATTACGAAGGTGCCTTGAAAGGATACTGTAATGCCAAGTGGGCAAGAAAGGGATGTGAAGTTCAGTGCTAAATAAGTGAAAAGTTGTACATGTGTGGAAAACCATCTTAACCCCACACACATATGTATACACACATATATACACACACACACATACATACATACACACACATATAGTAAGTATCCGCTTTGTCACTTAGGAAGGATGTTTTAGAGAGTAGCTAAACCTGTGAAAAGATCATGCTGGGCAGCTGGCAGAGAGACACATAAAAAGTTCTAAACAAACAAGGGCAGCAGTAAGGAAGATGAAAAACCACGCTGTGGCCACTCCAGTACACTGTTTTCAGTGCAGCACTTCTGGTTCCTTCTATCACAGAAAGCAAACTGTGAAACTGGAAAAAGAGTGATGAGATACAGAATGGTTTCAGAGTAAAGGGAGACCAGATAGCCTGGGACTTGTTGAAGCTGTGCACTAACATCTCCATTTCATGTTTTTAGAATGATAAAAGAAGTTCATGAGGAACCTCTACAAAAAAAGAAAAAAGCTAAAAGGAGTAGGAGCCAAACTGTCACTAAAACTGAGAAAGATGTTCAAAATGTCATTAAAATTGAGGATGATGATGAGCTTGAGACAAAAACAAAGAGAAGGAAAAAGAAAAAATTAAAAGATGAGCATTTAGACCAATTAGAACTGAAAAATAAGAAGAAGAAAAAGAAAACTGGCTCTAGATTACTGAAAGAAGCACATTCAGAAAGCTTTGTGAATGTAGAAGGCCATCTGGATTCAGAACCTAAAGAAGAATCGGAGGAACAAATTAAAATTGTCAAAAAGAAGAAGAAAAAAGCCCAGTGTCATTCCTCCTTATCATTGGAGAATAATGAGAGTCGTGATGTGGAGCTTTCAAATCCCCATGCAGATGGTACTAATGAAAATGGATTTGCATTTAAAAAAAGCAGAAAGAAGACCTCTTTGAATTTGGAATTGGATGGTGAAGTAACCAAGAAAAAAAAGAAGAAAAGCATTTTTTCTTGTTCATTAGAGGACATCCAGGACAGTGAACATGAACAGGCTGAAAAAGTTCCTAAAACCCCACAGAAATGTATTTCACAAAAACCTTTTACAGATATTATCCATAATGATGGGGAGAAGAATTATGTGAGAAGAAAGAAGAGAAAGAAGAAAAAAGATAAGCCTGACTCCTTTTTACCACAAACAGATAATCAGGACAATACCAATGGAGTTTCTGATAGCCCCACTGCATTAAGTGACTCTGGAAAAAGGAAAAGAAATAATGCCCTGGAAATTACATGGACAAGTAGAGAGGAAGAGGACACAGCTGAGAACTCTGGAAGTAGCAGAGAGACCAAGAAGAAGAAGAGAAGAAAAGATGTTTCTTCCTTAACACATACAGATAATAAAGACTACAGTCACAGTGTTCCAGATGAGCATCTCCCAGCCCAGCAAAAAGTTGAGTCTGAGGAAGAAGAGCTTTCTGGGAAGAAAAGCAGGAAGAATATAAAGGATAATCGTGAAGTCATCAAGAAGAAAAAGAAGATTCAGAAAGAGGAGGATTCAAAAGTTTTGTTAAACAATGACAGTCCATCAAAAAACCAAAAAATAACACTACTCGAAAGCACTAAAAAGAACCAAGAGAGGGAAATGAAGCAAACAGAATGTGTCACAGGGGGCACTGTAGATGGGGTATTGTGCCACAGTAACCACATACGCCGTGATGGAAAAAGGAAAAAATGGAAAAAAGAATCACGCCAGGACTCTGCTGAAGAACCAGGTTCAAAAGCAAACACAGAAAAGATCAAAAGAGAAGACATGGGAAATGAGGCACTGGTAAGTTGTAAAGAAAAGGATGTCTTTGCTAAGGAATCCTGCTAAGGAGTTGAAAGCTTTTTAGGTAGGCACTTTGTGCCTGCAGGCTGCTAAGCCTGTTCAGACCATTGGGATACACTTAGGTCAGTAGGGGCCTTCTCTTGGGTTCAAGAAGCAGGATCAGCTGATCTGTTGATTTCAGCATGTAGTAGTTGTAAAACACTGCAAAATGGTTTTTAATGCTACACTACACTCTTGTAGTGATCGTGTTTCAGCTGTGAAAATGTAAATATTACAACTAAGAGCAAGTATTGGCCCAAAAAGAAAACTCGTATGTACAGACATAGTGTTGTTCTGTCCTTCCTTTAGTTGCTCTTGGCAAAGTGGCAGCACTCCTGTAAAATAGGATTTTAATACCATGTCATTTAACCTGAGCAGGTTGGTAACATTGGCAGCATGAGTGCATCTAACTGTGTTAGACTTTTTCTTAAGCTTTTGCTGCTGTTAATGCTGAAATTGCAGTGTTAGAAACAAGGGGGAAATTTAGCCAAAACCTGTCATCTAACTTGGACAAAACTTTAGAGAAAATCCTACAAATCCAAAGTGTAGATGAGGCCTAGAGCACTGATGTATGAATTCTGATAGAAAAATACTAGAGAACAACCTAAACACAAATTCTTAATAAAGTAAATCAATGCAAGACAATAAAACGATGCAAGAGCTGTAAATTATACCTGAAAGTAACTGGAATTATATCCAGACTGGCTGTTAAAGGAAATCCCATCCTAGAGTCTTGCAGTACTGCCATTTCTGAGGTGAAACAAACATGGAGAGGAACTGATGGAAGATTTGAAATACACAAATACAGAGGTTTTTTCTTTGATTCGCTCCCCAATTCCCCCCTCCCCCTCAAAAAAAAGGCTATTAAGATCTTGTTTTATTGCTTTAACTTTTTTTTAGCTCCTTTTTTAAAATCTGATTAGGTTCTTATTTTAAAGCTATTTAAGTGCCTAAAGTTAGTACCTACATGCCTAACCTCTGTTGTTATCATTGGGAATAAAGCTGTGAGATGCTTAGAAATTCAATAGGTACCTACCTGTATTTTTACTACTTAAACAAAAATGGCTAACTGCAAGTGACTAGGAGCTTGCTTTGATATTCAGAGGTAATGGGAAACCGCACTCCAGTTGTTTTTTATCAAGAATTCGGGGATTTGGCTTGTTTAAAAGTCAAGCTCTAGTAAATAAATCATCATTGAAGATTTCTGTAAACCAGGGACAGGGCAGGCTGCAGCACTGGCTGCCTCTCCAGCCAGCTTCATGGTGTGCTTCGTGTTGTTACGCACTCCTGTATGCAGTTTCTTCATGTTCTGTGGAAACCCAGCAGCTTTCTGGTATCTGGCTAATAATTCAATACAGATTTTATGTAAGCAGGTTCTTCAGTGTCCATGGAGACACAGGTAGAGGCTTTTCCACAAAGGTTTGTGTTGGGAGTGTGTATGCTTCTCAGTCACCAGGTGAGCAGATGTTTGGGGCTTTGTCCTTAGGTTTCTCTGTTTGACCATTCAAAGGACAAGATGGTTTTATTGCTGGCATATATTTTCTAATTAAATTGACACTGACTTTTTGAGACTGTTAGACATTATTTAGATTCTTGTAGCTGTTCACATTCTGTGGAGGCAAGATAAGCCTAATAACAAGTAAAATCTCATGATGAATTACAATGGAAAACACAGCAAATACCTTGCAAACAATTGAGGAGAAGGACGTAGGATGATGCATGTGTTGCTTCTCTTTCCCATATTCAGCTCTGACCTTTAATAATAAGAAGCACTTCAGGGAAATTGTCCTGAAGATTGAGAAGTCTGGGTAAATCAGTTCCAGAGAAATCTAGTTCCTGCCAGACCAAAAGACACTGTTGTAGTAAATGGCGGATAATGTCAGTCTTTCATTTAACTGTGCCATAGTCTTGACACGTTTTCTAGTCTACAGTGTCTCACACACTGCTGCATGCCTTGAAAAATCCTCTGTGGGGCTTGTGCTGCAAACAAATGAGTGAGTTTTTCAAGACAATGTAGAGTGATACCCACTTTATGTCAATGATCATGGTTTTTCCAATTGGAGACCGTTACTGTCACCTTGGGCAGAGTGATGACTTGGTTTACTTCTTTGAAATTACTTGCCTGCAGATAGCAGAATCCTACCACATGTGAACATGCTCCCCTTCCATGAAGCTGGGGGAAGACCACCATTCCTGCAGGGGTAATTTTTGCCACACAGCAACCCTCAGCAAGCCAGCAACAGGCTGTGAACTGGCAGGGATGAGGGTGCACCCTTCCTCCTTCCTCATCTTCCACTTGACCTTCCAGTTAGAAAAAAAAAAAGTAACATTGCAGCTGTTTGCAGAATCCTGTCACATCAGTTCTGCTTGTTTGAATAGATCTGAAAAGACAGTACCAGGCCATCTAGAAGTAAATTGGGGTTTTGATCTTTTCATCCAAAAGAACAAGCTCTCCTTACTGCAGACAGTGTTCTCGCATTTTTAATGGTGCATGTACTTGTGTGTGTGTGGAATCAGTACATAAATGGTGGCTTTGGAAAATGAACTAAATCATTCATGGCTTTAAATAAAACTATAAACCCTAAAAAAAGTAACAGCAGCTTTGGCTGACAGAAGTATGTGACAAATCTTTTCCTTGTCCTGGCGTTCCCTGGCTATTTCATGCTTGGATTATTATGTTAGCTGTATCAATAGATCTTCCCTTTGGCCACCTTTTCCAGGCTGGTCTAAAGCTTATGGCTCTAATTTACCCATCCTGGACCTCCTACTTACCCCATTACACCGGATGCCCCAAAATCTTACCCTTATTACCAATTTGGAAAGGCTGATCTGTAAGTTCCAGTCAGTGGGAGCAGAACCTGCTGAAGGGCTGCACTTCAGAGTAGTATCAGTATTTACTTGGGGACTGACACTGATTTACCTCTTCTTGTCCTGCCCAGTCATACCTGCTGGAGCTGTTCTGTCTCCACATCAGCTCCCCATTCCTCACTCCCAAATGTGGAACTAAAGTGCTGTTTGCTGCCATTGTAGGAGACACTTTATGTATGTCTGCACCTCTTCCTGTGCTCTTTCCAGGTTTTTGAATTTATGTTAACTTTCACTCTTTCTGCCCCCTACTTGAAGTATAAACTTAAACTGTTATGAAGTGGTTTAATTTGAAATGACCCTGTCTGCAAACATTAGTGTATGTGCCAATGATGTGGGCAGGTCCATTTTAATGTGTGAATCCAAAGAAAACCCTTATGCTCTTTGTTTAAAAGGAAAAAAAAGGATCTCTTCCTTGGGGAGAAAGTCTCCCCATAGAAATACACAGCTTTAATTGGCATTTCCAGCTTAAATTTGACTATTTCTTGCCTCACATTAGTACTAATTTATTGCTCGGTGGTTTTACTACTTTTGTAGTCAGAGCTATGTAAATTCTAATTAACCAGAATGGATAAAAACATCCATACAAGGTTTTTTACCGTTTTACAGGAACATGTGGATGATGTAATTATTGTACAGGAAAAAAAAGGAAACTGTGATGAAGTTAACATAGACAAGGTATGCTTTGTCTTAATTGTGTAAGCTTTAAAGCAATACAGCATTTATTGTATGCATAGAATTTGTAACAAAAAACCTTTGTTGCTTGTCTATGCCAAGATTTCCCTAGATAGAGCTCTGCTTAAAGTGTGTTTTACCTTCCATGGGTTAAGTCCAAAATGTACAGCTCCAGTCAATGTCTAAGTAGCTTATTAAGTTAAATACAGGTTTCTTTGCGTCTCATTAACTTTGGCAGTTTCAGCGTAGCTGTTACCTGCAGTTAGAAGACTAAATATATCTGATACAGCAAAATGTTCATTTAAAATACCACTAGCAAAATCACAGTTCTGTTGTTGAGAGTGTAAATGGATCACATGCAACCTTTTAACTATCCTTGCAAAATTCTGAAGAGAACTAATTCTTTTAGTCTTATCTTTTCATTGTAAATGATATTAACTCATTTAACACACAGAAAATAGTGTCTTGTGCTGTTTTTTCTGCATGCTAGGTGAGGCGACAGGCTCTGCAAGAAGAAATCGATAGAGAATCTGGCAAAACTAAGGCTTTCAGTCCCAAAGTGAAACAGGTATGTATGAACTTAGATCATGATCTGACAGAAATACTGTGTCACAGAGCAAGTTCCTGAAAAAGGCACTGTACTCTTTGTACATGGCTCAGGTACAAGGCTTGCCACAACGTTCCTCCTTTTGACTGTAAATTTAAGGGAATGCTCTAGAACAAGTTAGTACAATCCCAGGAGAGTCTGCAAGCTGACCAGTGAACTCCCAACAGCAGCTGGCATTGTACAGTGCTCTAATTCCCAGCATCAGCCCTCAAAAGCAACATTTAGTCTGGTTCCTCTGGAGAATGAGCCATGACAAAATGCTACAGAAGTGTTTTCTGCTGACTCTGAAATACAAATAATTCTAGACTATGGATATAGCAGTCACTGAATTGTATCTGAATTGTTACGTGGAAGACATTCAGAAACAGGGGTAAACATAGAAAGGTAAAAGGGATGACGGCTGATAACACGTGTGATATTTACAGTCAGTCCTCTCCTAACTTTTACATCTTTCTTCTACCTCTTTGAAAGATAATTCTTTATTCTTTGCTTTTGCATCCTACTCAGCCTGCCTCCTGACACATTTACAGGAATGGGGTAGAAATTGTGGCAGGAGTGTAGCAGTGGTAAAAAGATTCAGAAAGAAAGCTTTGCTTGTAATTCAGTATTCTTAGTTGTTTGATAAGACTACCAGTAAGCCTAGAAAGTTGGAATATACCTCAATGAAACACCAGAAACAACTCCTGTAGGTTTTTACATAGTGGGAGGCAGACTGCAATAGCTCTGGAACTGCAACTATCTAATAGTCTTTGAAGTCATTGAGAAAAATGACATCCTTGGCAGGGGATCTCCGTTCTGTGGTGCTGATCTGTCTCTGTTTAGGAGTACACAGAAGAATAGAAAATTAATTCATCAGCTTCACAGAGTGAGCTGGAAATGCAGCAAAAGCAATGTGTAGTGCCTGCCAGTGCTTCACTTAAAAGAAATTACAGAGTTTGACAAGGCATAATTATTTCTGCATCTGTGCAGATGTCTCCCATGCCAAAGGGAGGACATGTATTTATGTGTATCTGCACATGCATCTGTCACAGAGCTGGGCTTATACAGTAATTTGTCTTTGAGCATAGTAAAAATACTGAAGTACTATGGATAGCTCTTTTAACAGCAGGTATTCTGGCCTCTCATAGTGAATGACACTCCAGCCTTGCATTTTTTTAGCTTAAAAAGCCTGCTACAGCTTGCCTGCAATATTGAGTAGCATGCTGTGTGTCATGTTGGCTGTCGAGTGGAGAATGACTGTTTCATGCAAGCTGGAACTGTTCAGTTGGAAGGATTTCAGGCTTCCATAAGACACGCCACTAAATTCACATTTTTCCTTTGATGTAGCCAGCTCAGTCCATTTAGTATCACCCCCAATTTTAAAGAAAAAATTAGGAGTAGCGGTTCTGCCAAAAACAGTTATAAATGAGAGCAATGCTCCTAGATATAGCTTGGGAGTCAAATAAGATCCTTAGATAATGAAGCTTGTTCTTAGGTAAGCCAAAAGTTCATGAACTTTATAAATCATATGATGTGTCTTTGGTAATCCACAAATGGCTGAAGCCTGATTTTACTTGGACATTGGCTGTTCTCTCAGAAGGGACACAGCTGCAGACAAAACAGAAATCCTGAAGGAGTGAACTAGTTCAAAGAATACAGTGAGAGGCGAATACAAGGACCAGAGCAAGCTGCACGGGAGGGAGGCTTTCAGGGTACTATATTTAGTCCTGTCAGATAAGGATTCACCCTCAGTTTTTGCACCCTTGCGATATTAGTGGGATGAGACTGCAAATATTACTCAAAGCTTGAGAGCCAGATTGAACGCTGTCTCCAAAATGTGCTAAAACATTGCTAATACCCACAGATACCTAAACGAGGCAACAGGAAAATGAGAAGATAACTGCACAAAGTGACAGAGTGAAAGAAGATTAAGCTGTCGGTTGTCTTAGAATAAGAGAAATGATTGGACAATATCTGGCTCTTTGAGTATTATCCACAGTGCAGAAAAGCCAAGGTTCCTAAGACAGAGGGAAAGGAGATTCTCAAAGTGCATTAAACCTTGTCTCCAGGTTAAATGGGCTGAAATGCAAATGAGGATGCACTCATGCAGGGTTGTGTCATTTTTTTATCATGTCCTTCGAGAGATACTACTCATAAAATTACTGTTTCTGAGCCCTGTTGGGTTGTTGTAGTTGGTTCTGTTCTCAAGGTACACAGCCAGAAATTGTTGTCCTTAATCTTGGTATTATTTAATTTTAGCACTAACCTTGTTTTGCTTCACAGGATACAAAGTTTGGCCAGTGGAGTACAGCTGCTTTTCAAAGTTCTGAGCAACAAATGAAGTTTCTTAGACTGATGGGTGGCTTTAAAAAGGGCTCTGGTCCTATTCAAAATCTCTCAGCAACTACAAACAAACCAAACATGGCTCTGAACAGGGAAGCGGAGGAGAAGTTACAGCAGGCTCTGAAGATGGAATTTGATAAAGCGATGGACTTGAGGCAACATAGAGGAATTGGTCTTGGATTTCAACCTGCTGCCAACAAAAAAGTATACATAGACAAATATACATCCAGATCTAAAAAATTTGAAGATTAAAACTCCGAAGTAATAAAAGGAATAGAAATTCAACTGGCAAATTTCTTTTCACTTCCCACATCATTTTAACTTGAAAACAGATATATTTAAGAAATTTGATTTATGAGGCACTTGTACTACAAGTTGTCAACTGCATGAACTAGAGCTGAGTCCTCACTTCAGCTAAGCAGTAAGTTTTTGATACCTTTACAATATTTTTTACAAGGCAAGAGACAGTCTGCTTTGAAGACTGCAGCTACATGGGCAATGCCTGTAACTAGCTGAAACTTAGTCAATTTTTTTAAAATGCTGATTTTATAACCTTATTTTCAGCTACATCTGTGTGGTTTAAACTTAGCCACGCAGTCTCTCTCACTACCCCCCTTCCTCTCCCCCACCCCCCACGCCTGGAGGAGAAACAAAAGAATGTAACTCCCACGGGTTGAGATAAGAACAGTCCAGTAACTAAGGTATAACACAAACCACTGCTGCTACCACCAATAATAACAATGATAAGGGAAATAACAAGGGAAGAGAATACAATCGCTCACCACCCGCCAACCAATACCCAGCCCAACCCCGGCAGTGATCTCCCCTTCCAGGTAACTGCCCCCCAGTTTATACAGTGGGCATGACGTGCTGTGGTATGGAATACCTCTTTGGTTATTTGGGTCAGGTGTCCTGTCTCTGCTTCCTCCTGGCTTCCCCTCCTCCCTGGCAGAGCATGAGACTCAGAAGGTCCCTGGTCAGAGTAAACATTGCTAAGCAGCAACTAAAAACATCGGTGTTATCAGTGCTGTTCCCAAGCTGAAAGTCAAAGACACAGCACTGCACCAGCTACTAAGAAGGAGAAAAATGACTCCTACTGCTGAACCCAGGACACTACCTCAGTGATTCAAAAGGATTTTGGTGTTCTGTAAAATCTTGACATTTTTACGCTCAGTGAGTGGTACGAAGCGATGGTGTTTTACTTTGAAGAAACACTACTGACATGCCTACAAATCTGATGATACATTTTGGGCAACTCCCGAGAAGAAGTGAAAATTATGGAGAGGCTCCAGCTTAAAGGGCTGCTATGAATCCATTCCTATACCTGGGATGAAGAAGATGCTGAACCACTTCCTGCAGGGTCTTTGAGGAAACATCTCCTTTATAGTGTCATTTAAAACCAGCACTACCTCAGGGCAAGTCTGTTTTTCACCAGTGATCTCAAAGTTCAGTGACTGGCTTCAGCCAGCACTTCCATGCTTCAGCTTTTGCTTTACTTAAACCCAGGCAGTGGAGGTCATTTTCTGTTCCAAGACAAATGCTGAATTCAGGCCCTCAGCTACTTGCCTAGCAAAAAACTTGACGTAAAATAAAGGAACAGGTAAGAAAACGTCAACTAGTGACTTCATTTAGGAAGAAAGTGACAGCACATACAGCTTTCTGCTGCAGAGCCAGTCCTGGATGGGTAATGACTGGTTTTGCACTACCACAGACAAGATGCTGAAGGTGATATTAGTCCTAGCCTTGCCTTTAGATAAGAACTTTTTCCCTATCTAGAATTGCATAACATATACCAGTATGTTGTTCAACTGCAGCTTTGTGGCCTGGCACCTTTCTCTTGATAATAATATACACATGGAAATGTAGTTTCAAAATCAAGACTCATACCGGGGGAAAAAAACTGTCAGCTTTTTTCAAGCAGATAAACTTGTTCTGGCCTGTGTATGTGCTGCGTATAGAAGAAAGAGGAGGTCTAATACTGTACAGTACTGTAGGTACTGTAGTGATAGGAAAAGGGGTAACGGGTTAAAACTTAAACAGGGGAAGTTTAGGTTGGATATAAGGAGGAAGTTCTTTCCTGCTGGGTGGTGAGGCACTGGAATGGGTTGCCCAGGGAAGCTGTGAATGCTCCATCCCTGGCGATGTTCAAGGCCAGGCTGGACAGAGCCTTGTGTGACATGGTTTAGTGTGAGGTGTCCCTGCCCATGGCAGGGGGGTTGGAACTAGAGGATCTTAAGGTCCTTTCCAACCCTAACTACTCTGTGATTCTAATAAGTGGAGTGTTTTAACTAAAATTAGTTTAACATGGAAATTAGCTAAAAGCAGTTTATTAGAGTGATTGCATTAGCTTCTAAGCTAAATTTTTATACAGTTTACTTCTGATAACTAAGCAGAGTTTCTGCCTGTTGTTGAGCTGTTTTTGCACTAATAAAAGTAGTAAAACATTTCCCATGGTGGTGTTGCATCGATAAAGGAATGAAAGTAATACTGTGCTTCAAAGACAACAGGCAAAAATGGATGCCTGCATGGAAGGAGGAACAGTGGGCATGTCTGTAAGCCTGTTGTAAGAGTTTCTATTTTACAGAGTCTGAAGGAACTCCACACTGGGTTTAGAGCAGTACATTTGCCCCCAGAGGGCAATTTCTGCCATACCACAGCTGCTTAATGTGACCCACTTGGTGGTTTACAGGGCTCAGAGTTTAATCCCATTTACCCAGTTTGTGGCTTACGTTTCCAAACCCAACACGAAGAATCATCTCCGCACTGTTGAGAGCTGTTTTGTGCAGCTGCAGCAAAAAGGAAAGCTAAATTAAAGTGGGACATGATAACATATTTCAATATCTATGTGCACTAGATAAAAAAAATTTTAAGGAACATCAGTATAATCAAAATGGCCATGTACTAAAGTTGGAAAGGTTCTTTATCAAGCTGATACTATTTCATAGTTATCTTGTATTCCTGCAATTTTACTTAGGTTTCAGCTACAGCCTGTATCAGGACAAAAAAGTCCTGGTTCATTTCTTTACAACCTTAACACAAAATACGTATTTTAGATGTACCCTGCTTCTGTAATCACGGAGGAGATGAAAAACAGGCAGCAAGAATGCTTTAATAATTTTAATAATTTATTATCAGCTTGCTAACTCCTTAAACATATGGTTCTGGCAAAATTGATTACTTGCTTAGCCTTAACAAAATAAAGCAGTTTTGTGCAAAAATGTATCTTAATATCTATATGCAGATTTAGCTCATTAAAATGCCACTAAGCAAACCCAGCAATAGATGCAAGGTCTCAGCATGGTTCCTCCTTACCATGGGACAGAAGTGGTGAGAGTGAAATGTTATTAGATGTAATAGCAGTACATGTAACTTAATTCCACGAGGGTGAAGTGACAAATTTGTATACAAAGTCCCCAAGAACAAACAGATGAACTGCAAATTGTTTTATTCAGGGATAGTGTACTTTGCAAACACAGAGTACTTTGCATACATTTCCATTTTTCTTTGCAGACAGCACTTAAAAGATTCTTTCCATTTTACAAAACAACACTGAACTAAAACGAAAGCATAAACATGTCCATGAAAATATATTGCAGAAATTAGGACAAGAACACCTCAGCCATTTTTCTCTTCTACTGGAACTGACCAATCCAATGTTGGCAGCTTCCCAAAGCAGAAAGATGGCTTAGTAGGATTATTATATTGAAATGCTGGTTTCTACAGAGGAGAAAGACTATCCTGCATGTGGGATGAAGTGTGGAAGATGTGAACTGATCCATGCAGTTTATCTTCTTTCTTTGTTGCTAAAATGACAACAGGTTAGCTTTCTAAAGGCTTTTGCAACCACAGAGGTTCAAAATACCATTAACTAAATCTAAATCAGCATTTAATAAGAATGTAGAGGTAAAACTGGAAACAAATTCAGGTTAAATTATTGCACTCAGAACAGTTTTACCTTTACTTGTGTCCAAGTAAATCTGTCCAACTAAGTAAAATAAAAATACACTGAACTCCTCCAGTCACAATCCAGATCAGTGATTCGGGCCTTGGCAACACACTCCCTTGTGCAGGTGACTCCTTGGGAAAGCGGCATTCCTCAGGTCCTGGACTGCAGAGGAAGCCGAAGGGCCAAATCTGTGAAGTGACTCATTTCAGGTTGTTTGCTGCGCTTCTTGATGTATTCTAGTGTTGTCACCTGGGTACAAAAGAAAGGTATTTTGAGATTTTTAGTGTCTTTGTTTTCAGTTCACAGGCCATCACTTAATTTATGTGAAGGTGTTTTGAACAGACACTCATGATTTTCCCTAAATATTACTGGCTACAAGAGCACTTGCTTTTCTTGCTCCAGAGCTGCTTATCATGTATACCTTTCTTAAAGGCTCTAAAACACCCACTTTCCAAGCTTACACCATGCAGTTCCTTCCACTAATAAAAATGTTGTACTTCTCTTAAACATAGTTTTCTGTACTGAGAAAAGCTATAGCACTCAACATTTGCACATTCCTTAATGTGTGAAATACATGTTAAAAGTGCCAGAAAGATACAGACCACTTGAAGTAAGACAAGCTGCTTATTTCTTAAGAAGCATTTAAAAATAAGTGGGGTTTAGACTAATTTATTTTTTAAGACAGCAACTTGTAAAATTATTGGCTTTATTCAGATAAAGAAATGTTACCTTTTCTCAAACGAGGAGTTTAAAAAGATCTTAAGAACTACAATTTCCCTGCATTACCCCTTTTCCTTACCATAGTACTGGTGTCAGCAAAGCCATGCTTCTGAGCAAGATTCCAGAGGTTGACTGAAAGCTGGTTTAGTTTGTTGTTCCGTAGATCCCCATGAGCTAGAATAGTGTTAAAGAAATAGAGTGCCAACTGGCTCTGTCGCTTTAGGGTCTATAATAGAGAAAAAAAATATATAAAATTCCTGTATTATCAGGCAGTCATCCCAAAATATCCAGCATAGCCTCACCGTATTCTCTGAACTCTCAGAAGTGCAAGGGGCAGACACTCATTTTGTGATACACAGCAATACACAAGAAAATGGGCATAGTTTTTCATGTCAAAACACAAGTAGTGATAATCACAAATCAGCCCAAGTTGCTGTAACTAAAATAATTACATAAGGTTCCTACATCTTGTCCCACTTTAGCACAGCATGTAGGTCTGACATGTTTTTAACTCAAAGACTCCCTACAACTGCACAGAAATCACTCTCCACCAACCAACCTTCAACTTACATCACCATAGCTATGTATTTTTTAGGGAGACCACTATCACCATCTAGATGAATGCAA